TTTGGTAGAAACCCGCATTGAAACCCTCCACCAGCTAAGCTCAGAACTTAAAAAACAAAAATTCTCAGCAGACGCCTCCCCCTGGTGGAAATTCTCTGTGTACTCCTTACTCTCCCCCCTCCTCGGCCTGGTCCTCCTCATAATAATTATACTGCTAATTGCCCCCCATTTTCTTCACTTCATTCAGGACCGATTCGCACAACTCACACGGACACTAGAAGTCCACCAAATGATGCTACAACAATACCAGCCTCTGACCAGTCCCCCGACTCGGACCACGCCGACTCAGGCCCGCTCCCCTAATGCCGCCCTGTCCATCAGGAAGTAGCCAGAAAGACAACCTCGCCCCTATTCCTATATCACAGAGTCGGGGATGTCCGATAGCCTGGGAACTGGCGCTAGGCAAATTGCTCAACCACTGTTTCGCTTGCTCAGCCTTGCCTCCCACCCTGTTCTGGGAACGGCCTGCCCCGAGCTTGAACACTAACTCCCATCCTGCTCTTATCGACTCACATTCCAGAGGCTCCCATGCAGAGCCCCCGCAAGGTCAAACCCTAACAGACAAATCTCAGCTGCAACGGGCAGATATAAAAAAGCACAAACCCCAGCATAGGGCGCGGCTTCTAGGACTTGACCCCCGGAGTCTGTGAACCCACCCGGAGTGTACCCAATAAAGCCTGATCCCTGTTTATTCGGCTGACTGGCTCTCCAGTCTCTTCTCTGTTTTTTGGCGGCGCCCCTGATTCCTTACAGAGAAGGTCAAATAAAAAGCTTCCCAAACAAAAAAAAATACTAAGAAAATATATTAACACCAAACCAGCACCGCAAAATATGCTAAAAGGACTGCTGTAATTAGTAGAAGAAATAGGAAGAAAAATATAACCACACTGAACAAAAATGGCAAAAATAAGTACATATCAATTATCACCTTAAATGTGAATGGTCTGAATGCTCCGATAAAAAGACACAGAGTAGCTGAATGGGTAAGAAAGCATGACTCACATATATATGTTGTTTACAAGAGACCCAACTCATAACAAAAGACTCACATAGGTTGAAAGTTAAGGGATAAAAAAAAACTTTCAAGTGAACAAAAAGGAAAAAAAAGGCTGGGATAGCAATACTCATACCTGATAAAGTAGATTTCAAAATGAAGGCCATAACTAGAGACAAGGAAGGCCACTACATAATATTGAAAGGATCTATCCAACAGGAAGATATAACCTTGGTAAACATATATGCACCCAATATAGGAGCACCAACATATATTAAAAATCTTCTGGAGGACTTCAAAGGAGTAATCAATAGCAATACAATCATAACAGGGAACTTCAACAGCCCGCTGACATCACTAGATAGATAATCTAGACAAAAAATTAACAAGGAAACACAGACTCTAAATGAAACGCTAGATCAAATGGATTTCATAGTATCTACAGAGAATTACACCCCAAAACTGCAGAATTCACATTCTTCTCAAGTGCACATGGGATATTCTCAAAGACAGACCACATGTTAGGGCACAAACTAAGTCTCTACAAGTTCAAGAAGACTGAAATCATATCAAGCATCTGTTCAGATCACAATGGCATGAAACAAGGCAACAAGAACATGCAAAGACATTTGAACACATGGAGGCTGAATGGCATTATACTGAACAATGAATGGGTTACCATGGAGATCAAGGAAGGAATTAAAAACTTCCTGAAAACCAATGAAAATGAACACACAACAACAAAAAATCTATGGGATGCAGCGAAAGCAGTTCCGAAAGGGAAGTTCATAGCACTACAAGACTACCTCAAGAAGCAAGAAAAATTTCTAATACACTAACATCACAACTTAAAAAACTAGAAAGCAAACAGAAAGAAAACCCCGAGCAAGTAGAAGAAAGGAAATAGTAAAGATCAGAGCAGAAATAAATGACATGAAGATCAAAAAAACAATGCAAAGGATCAATGAAACAAAGAGTTGATTCTTTGAAAAGATAAACAAGATAGATAAACCTTTAGCTAGACTCACTAAGAAACAAAGAGAAAACCCAAATACACAAAATCAGAAAAGAAAGAGAAGTAACAACTAACACCACAGAAATACAAAGGATCGTTAACAAATATTATGAACTATTATATGGCAACAAATTGGATAATCGAAGCAAAATGGACAAATTTCTAGAAACACAGTCTCCCAAAACTAAACAGCGAAGAGATAGAAAACTTGAACAGACCAATAACAACAAAAGAAATTGAAGGTGTAATCAATACTCTTCCAGCAAAGAAAAGCCCAGGTCCAGGCGGCTTCAGGGGGGAATTTTTTTTTTTTTTTTTTTAATCCTCACTCGAGGATATTTTTCCATTTTTTGTACAGATAGAGTGGGAGGGAGAGAGAGGAAGGGAGAGAGAGAGAGAAACATCGACGTGAAGGGACACATCGAGTGGCTGCCACCTGCACGACCAACCAGGGCCGGGGACAAACTGCAACCGAGGTACGTGCCCTTAGCGAGAACTGAACCCGGGTCTCTCCGGACCGCAGGCCGACGCTCTAACCGCTGAGCCAAACTGGCCAGGGCTTCACGGGGGAATTTTACTGAACAATCAAACAAGAACTAATACCCATTCTCCTCAAACTATTTCAAAAAATTCAAGAAGGAAGACTTCCAAACTTGTTTTATGAGGCCAGCATTATTTTAATTCCAAAACCAGAAAAAGACACTACAAAGAAAGAAAACTACAGGCCGATATCCCTGATGAACATAGACGCCAAAATCCTTAACAAAATATTAGCAAATCACATCCAGCAATACATCAAAAAAATTATTCACCATGACCAAGTGGGATTCATCCCAGGGATGCAAGGATGGTACAATATTTGCAAATCAATTAATGTGATACACCACATAAACAAAATGAAGAATAAAAACCACATGATCATATCAATAGATGCCGAAAAAGCCTTCGACAGAATCCAGCATCCATTTCTGATAAAAACTCTCAGCCATCTGGGAATAGAGGGATCATATCTCGACATAATAAAGGCCATATATGAAAGACCTACAGCCAACATCATAGTTAATGGGCAAAAACTAAATGCATTTCCATTAAGAAAAGGAACAAGACAAGGATGCCCACTTTTGCCACTCTTATTTAACATAGTACTGGAAGTCTTAGCCACAGCAATCAGACAGAAATAAAAAACAAAAGGGATCCAAATTGGAAAGGAGAAAACTACAGGTCATTGAAAAAAGAAATAGAGGAAGATATAAAATAGTGGAATCACATACCTTGTTCATGGATTGGAAGAATTAACATCATTAAAATGTCCATACTACCCAAAGCAATCTATAGATTCAATGCAATCCCCATCAAAATACCAATGACATACTTCGTAGAACTAGAACAAATACTTCAAATGCTCATATGGAACCAAAAAAGATCCCAAATAGCCATACCAATCTTGAAAAAGAAGAACAAAGTTGGAGGAATCACATTACCAGATTTCAGGTTATACTACAAAGCCACTGTAATCAAAACAATCTGGTACAGGCACAAGAACAGGCAGATAGATCAATGGAACAGAATAGAGAACCCAGAAATGGACCCAAGACAATATGCTCAGTTAACATTTGACAAAGGGGGCAAGAGCTTATAGTGGAGTAAAGACAGTCTCTTTAATAAATGGTGTTGGGAAAACTGAACAGCTACATGCAAAAAAATAAAACTAGACCATCAACTTACTCCATAAACAAGAATAAACTCAAAATGGATAAAAGACTTAAATGTGACCCGTGAAGAAATAAAAATTCTAGAAGAAAATGTAGGCAACAAAATTTCAGACATCATACACAGCAGAATTTTCACTGATACATTACCTAAGGCAACAGAAACAAAGGAAAAAATGCACACATGGGACTACAACAAACTAAAAAAATTCTGCACAGCAAAAGAAACAACCACCAAAATGGAAAGGCAACCCACTCTATGGGAGAGCATCAGTGCCAATGATACATCAGATAAGGAGTTAATTTCCAATACATATAGAGTGCTCATACAGCTCAACAAAATGAAGACAAAGAACCCAATTAAAAAATAGGCAGAGGAACTAAATAGACACCTCTCCTAACAGGACATACAAATGACTAAGAGACATATGAAGAAATGCTCAACATCACTAATTATCAGAGAGATGCAAATTAAAACAACAATGAGGTACCACCTCATGCCTGTCAGAATGGCTGCCATCAACAAATCATTAAACAACAAGTGTTGGTGAAGGTGTGGAGAAAAGGGGACTCTAGTACACTGCTGGTGGGAATGCAGACTGGTGCAGCCACTATGGAAAACAATATGGTGTTACCTCAGAAAATTAAAAATTGAACTGCCATTTGACCCAGTGATCCCACTTCTAGGAATATACCCTAAGAAGCCTGAAACACCAATCAGAAAGAATATGTGTACCCCCATGTTCTTAGCAGCACTGTTTACAATAGCTAAGATCTGGAAACAGCCCAAGTGTCCATCAGTAGACAAATGGATAAAAAAGCTGTGGTACATATACACAATAGAGTACTAAGAAAGAAAGAAAGATCTCTTATCCTTTGAGACGACATAAAGGGACCTGGAGAGTATTATCCTAAGTGAAACAAACCAAGCAGAGAAAGACAAATATCACATGATCTCACTTACTTGTGGAATATAATGAACATAACAGTCTGAGGAACGGGGTATTCCCAGAGACGTGGAATTGGGTACAGACGGACAATCCCCAGAAGAGAGGGTTGGGAGGAGAGATAAACTACAGAACTTATATGCATGTATGCATGAACAATGAACATGGACAACAAAGCTGGGGACAGGGCAGGGAGGGTGGTATCACTGGGGGAAAAAGGAGAAACATCTGTAACAAAAAATAAATTGATTAATTAAATTTAAAAAAGTAGACCCTTGAACATTTCAAAAAAATAATAAAAAATGAAAAATCTATTAATCAAGAAGGTTTCTCACCATGTACAATATTTGCTTTCGAGTCCATACTACACAGTTGGCTGGCCTCCATCAGATCTGCTGCAGTCACAAATGGGTGTGATGTTGTTACATGACTTAAAGCAAGCATCTAGGGAAATGGGGATCAGAAAAACAATTACATATTTATTTGGGCAATTTGGAATATTCCTAAACAATTAATCTCGAGAATCTATTTTTACAAGAGTAAAAATTAATGCTTGAGAAAAGTATTCTATCATATTTAGTATTTCAATTCATATGCCATATAACTATAAATGTAAAACATAAAAAAATTTTGCTGCTCTTTAACCTTTCCCACTTGCATATCTTGTTTATTTACAACTCCTCAAAAAAGAAACATTTAAAAAGAAATAGTGCAAGCAGAAGAAACAAAAAATAAGTAAGAATACTATTTAAAGCCCCAGAGCAAGCCAAATTGAATGGGCAGACCTGTGACTTGTATAAACTTTCTTATTGCCCAAATCTACCACTCCAGGTCAGGGTTAAGTGACAGACACTTTATGTTCAATTGCTCAAAAAGAAACAAGATAAAAAGGCCAAATTACACTAAGAAATAACTCTCCTTGAAAGCAGAGGCCACTTTCCTTGAACTTCATTCCCCTACTGAGAGGGAACTGGGTACCCAGTAGCTCCTTCTCTTTCTCTCACCTGTCCTTTTACCTTTTACAATAAAATATTTTTGACATATAAAAAGGCAAGAGAATAATATAATGAATATCCATGACCACTTCCCCAGCTTACAAAATATGATCTTATACAACTGAAGCCCTTGTCTCTTTCCTTGGTTGGACTCTACTCTTCCCTACACAAAAACAAAAATGCACATCTTTATACTTCTACTACATATATATGTATTCCTAGACTATATAGAGTAGCGGTTCTCAACCTGTGGGTCGCGACCCCTTTAGGGGTCAACGACCCTTTCACAGGGGTCACCTAAGACCACTGGAAAACATACATTTCCGATGGTCTTAGGAACTGAGATACTGCTTTTCTATCCATCTCCAGGTGGGTCCGCCCGCATGCAGAAACGCCCACAGAAAACATGAGGAACTGTATTAAATGGTCATGGCATTAGGAAGGTTGAGAACCAGTGATATAGAGTAATCTTCAACTTTTATATAAATATTGTATTATTGAAACTCTATCTTCATTCTATTATGAGACTTTATCCTTGTCAAGGTGTCAAGTCTAATTTATTCATTTTCTTCCTGTTGTATTGCTTTCCAGTTTAATTATTTTTCCCTTATTGATGGAGACCTCTCAGTTCCTCTTTTGCAATTATAATAAGGCTGCATTAAACAACTTTGTACGTCTTCTTGTGCATCTGAGTTACTCTAGATATCTAATTTGCCAAATTGTTTTCCAAAGTACCTATACCTATTTACACTATCAGCAGCAATAAATTTCAACAGTCTCAGGCACCACACCATCAGACATAAACTATGACACCTACTAGCTGGCAGGAAGAAAAAGGTTACATTGTACTGTTTAATTATGTAAAGTTTAAATTGTACCATTTCCCTGGTTACTGGAGAGGTTAAACACCTTTGTATATTATAGGTCACGTGGGAATTTACATTGCTACATTGCTTGCTCATGTAAAGTGAATACTTAGGTATACACTTTAAACATGTACCAACAGAATCAGTGTGGTAAAAATTATAAAATAATAATGAAAGAAATCAAAGAACTAAATAAAAAGAGAGATGTACCATAGAGATTGGTAGACTCCATGTAGTAAACATAATTCTCCCCAAATTTACCTACAGGTTTAATCAACTGCCATAAGAACATAATAATCTGGTGAAATAAAATAAATGATAAAACAAAACTAATACAAACCAATAGCATGTGTAATGACCGCAGGTTTTTGCTGACATTGAAATGCTTCAGTAGTACTTCTCGCACACTTGCATCTTCTGAGAGACACTAGAGAGGTAAAAATCAAAACAGAATTAAGGAATAATGCCATTTAAACCCTAAATATCATCTCATGCCTCGCTAGTTGGTGTACCTCGATAATTCTATTAATTATTCAATAGGTACTGATCCTATTTAGAACAAAAAATCAAAATCTAATTTCCAGTCTATTGATTTTATTCTCATCCCTTTACATTATTTCAATTGAAACAAAGATAAAACATAATCCTTGCTACCAGTGAATTTCTACTCTGAAAAGGGAATCTATGCAGTGATACTAGTGGGATGATAAAAATGTAGCAAAAAAAAAAAAACAGAGAATAAAAGTTACTATACTTGGAAAAACCAAGTATTATACAGAATGCTTAAACTGTATGAGTTACCAAAGAAAGAACACTCCAGGTGTAAGGACTAGCACAAGGAATGTAGGAAAGCTGTGGCACACTGACAGAAGAGAGGTAGTCGTGTAATCCTGAGCTTCAATAATTGGCAAAGTAATGTATAGAAAAACAACAGCAGGAAAAACTACCTGGAGGCGATTGTAACTGTTCACACAAGAGACAAAGAGGGTCTGAATGAGCAGAGTGGTGTGAAGACAACAGAGAAGACATTTATAAAAGACATGTACAATGGAGAATCAACTGGTGAGAAGTGGAGGAGAAAAGGTTTGAGAGGGGAAAGAAAGAAATCAGAGATGATAACATTATATACAGATGTGGTCAAGAGTGAAACTTGGTCCAGCAGGTGTGGCTCAGTGGCTGAGCATCAACCCATGCACAAAGAGCTCGCCAGCTCAATTCCTGGTCAGGACATGTGCCCAGGTTGTAAGCCTGATCCCCAGTGGGGGACATGCAGGAGGCAGCCAATTGATGTTCTCGCTCATTGATGTTTCCATCTCTCTCTCTAAAATCAATAAAGAAAAGAAAAGAAAAAAAAAGAAGTGAACCTTGGATTATCGATGTTTAAGAAGTAAATGTAAAAAGAGAAGCAAATTAAAAGACTGAGAAAACTACTAAAGCCTGGCAGAGAATATAAGCCAAGAGCAATGAAACCCAGGGAAGAAAACTTCAAGAGGCTAGTGGTGATCAACAATGTAAAGTACTTTGTATAATTCAATTGAGATATATTTTGAGAAGAAGCTAATGGCTTTGGAAATGCGAAGATCCTTTGAAAAAGCATTATCTAAAAGAGCCAAATGACTGCAGTAAATTAGGATTAATGAAAAGTAAGGTACACTTGGCACTGAAGAAAAGATTAGATTAAAGGAGAGTAAATTCAAAGTTGGCAGAGCCAAGAAGGCTTAGGGAAGACTGACATTAATTTTTAATAAATCATCCACAAAGAATAAGAATTGTTTTTCTTTAAAAAAACTAACAAAACCCTAGGAAACTAAGTACTAAGTATTTCTGTATTTTCTACAGCTAAAACTACATGTCTCTACTTCTTCCACTATAAGAAGATCCAGATTTAGAAATAAGTTCTAGTCTAATTAAATAGTTTTGTAATCTCAATAAATACACTATCCTAATTTTAGTCCCTATTTCCTTATTATTGTTTTAGGCCTTTTCTTTTTAGCTTAAAGGGCTTATTGTCACTATACATATCTTTTTATCACAAACAGGGTCAAATTTCCTTTGGAAATATACAACATGAACTTAAAATAAAGCAAAGTAATTCAAATATAAACCTTTTGGAAATTAACTGTAGTCCTGGCTTCTGCAATTGTTGATTCTTATCAAGTCACTTATAAAGTTGATGTATTACAATCAGAGCACTTAGGAAAACTAAAGAGAGCCCTCTGGGACAGAAATACTGATGGGAGGAATATTTTTTTCTGCAAGAATTGTTTTTTGTTGTTGTTGTTGTTGTTTTAAGTATTTGCTTTTTAAAAAACAGTATGTGTTGCCCTGGCCAGGTGGCTCAGTTGGGTGGAGTATCATCCCATACACCAAAAGGCTGCAGGTTTGATTCCTGGTCAGGGTACATAACCTGGGTTTCAGGTTTGATCCCATTGGGTGTGTATGGGAGGCAACCAACTGATGTTTCTCTCTCTCTCTCCCCATACTCCTTCCCTTTCTAAAATCAATAAAAACCATATCCTCAAGTGAGAATTAAAAGTAATAAAAGAAAATAAGATGTCAAAGGGTTAGTTTTCTATACTCTGCCTTTCTCCTCATTTCTTTAGATTTATAAGTCTGAATCAAACTACCCTTCTTTCTGAAGGCTATCACCTCCTTGCTTCTATAACTAATCTGCTTTAAATAGTTTACACGACCAATATATGAGCCATTAAAAAATAAAACCTCACATTTTTTATTTCATCTTAATTAGAACATTATAAACTACTTGAGGATAAGGTAATTTTCAATAACCATTTACTGGATGCCTATTATATTTAACTAATTATGATAATTATTGAAGATATGAGATCGTAGGCTCTGGAAACATGACTGAATTTCCTATGGTTGGCACAGGTAATAATGTAAAGGGAGTAAGACAGAGACTGACTGATATCACCACTTAGAGGAAAATGGGAGAAATTCCCAGAAAGTAGACCTCCCCTGTTGTTCAGGGAAGTTGCCACATTTCCTTTTCACTGATGAACACATGACGAGTAGCTACAGAAGCAGGTTATTACTGTGTTTATTGCAGTGTTTGGCCACTGCCCTCTTCAGGTAAGATTCTAAGCAGAATGTAACAGAATCATACTTGTACCTCAAGACTCATGCTGCTCCAGGGATAACTTAGCGACAGCACTACATGTACTAAATCTCCTAGTCAGTTCCTGCTAAGCCTTCTCATCTTTTGTTAACTAAACAGGAAAGGTTTAAAACATAGCTAATTCTTTCTTGAACTTAGCTATAGCACTTTGGAGACATTTCCTTAGAGGAGAATTAACTATGATTCTTTAAAAAGAATCATATATATATATATATATGTGTGTGTGTATGCATATATTTGAGAGAGAGAGAGAGAGAGAGAGAGGAAAAACATCGATGAGAAACATCAATCAGCTGCCTCCTGCATGCCCCATACCAGGGATTGAGCCCCAAACCTAGGCATGTGCCCTGACCAGAGATCAGCAACCTTATGGTACACAGGATGGCCAAGGCTAAATGTTCTTTTATACAGGGATTTTTCTTATACTGCCATGCTGAAATAGTGTTTACTCTAACCACTTCTTTGACTCATTTGGGGTATGGTTAAAATATTCAGAGGTCTAGGTTTAATACTATCCTAAAAATATTTCTTGGATAAGATTGCATAGGTGACCTGTTATCTCTACCACTGCTTTTGGTTTAACCTTGGAATTAGAAAAACTTGCTGGATAGTCAGCACTGAGAGAAAGGATAGTTCCCTTAATGCAGTCCCAACCCCACTCCCACCCACAGAACAGGGACTCTGGCCATGGTGCTGATATATTTTTGAAGTGTAGTCCATTTATTAGTATACCAAAAAGGAGGTAGTAAATGATGATTATGATAGGGGAAAGAAGTATAAAAACTAAGAGACACAAACTCCAGTAGTACTAGTCTTGCCTTAAAAAAAGGGGGTACCCTAAGATTGTCAAAAAGAAGACAGGATAGTGCTCACATTCATTCCTACCATCTGCCCCTAAATTTAGTGATATAGGACCAGCAAAAAGGTACCAAAAACCTAAGGTCTAGCCACTCTGCTACCACATGGTTACCCATTTTCTGAGTCACCCAGAGATATGCTTCACCAGTAACTCCCATCATCTACTTCCTTTATATACCCACTCTGAGATGATCAAAATGTAACATATCAGGAAGGACTGAAAGATGGTTGATGGCATAGTACGACCTGGGCTATTCATTCATCTTAGGAAAGAAAGTGAGCAAGGACAGAAGTAATAAAAGCTCTGGGACAGCACAAACATTTACATACTATGCAAGACTGCGTTTGAATCTCTAAAGCATTCAGAAAACACACTGTTGTAATGAGACAATCAGTTAAAAGAGCTGTAGAAGGTGAAAGTCTGTGACTCACTGAAAAGTGGATTCAGAGACCAGAGGTTCAGAGCTCTGATCCACTCCAGACCTTGTCAAAGGAAAGGACAATGTGAGAGCACCAATTATAAAGTGTTCCTAAAATAATGGAATCTTACAGTTAGACATAGTATCAAAAATAACTCGCCTGAGATAACAAATATCTGAATCCCATACAAGACTAATTTGGGGAAGAGGGTGGAAGGGAGAACCAACATCTAACTATATCATGGCACAATATCTGAATTTTAAGGATAAACAGCCATTTTTATGTACAATTCCATAGAGTTATATTAAGAAAAAAAGTATGAAATTATCATTCAGAACAAAGTATAAAAGGTAAAATAAAAAAGAATATGTAAAGCTTTAACCCTTTGTATAAAAACAAGTTTAGTATTATATAAAGTCTGAAATGCTATAAAATAAATAATTACTCTTATAAGGTTGGATATAACAAAAACTTCTAACTTTTACCATGTATTCTTATGCACTATGTTTTGCTCAATTAACTTTTAATTTAAAAAAGTAAATGTGTCAAAAGTACTAAAGCTTACTCGAGCAGATTATATTTTATTATTAAAACAAGAATCAAGTTTCAGTTATGCAAGATACATAAGATCTAGAGATGTAATGTACAGCAATGCGATTATGGTTAATAACACAGTATTGCACTCTTGAAATTTGCAAAGAGGAGAGATCTTAAGTGATCTCACAGTTTAAAATTAAAGTATACCTATGTGAGGTGATAGATATGTTTAATAGCTTGATTGTGGTATTTCACAATGTATATGTATATCAAAACCATAAAAATATACTGTTTCCAATTTGTCAATTATACTTCAACAAAGATGAGAACAAGAATCATTTACGAGAAAAATAAACACAAAATCCTCACTTTTAATTTGGTATTACTTACAAAGAAAACCAGTATTGATTTAATATAAAACAATCTTTTCTTAGAGCCAGTGAATACAGACTGTGTAACTCTAATTATCCACACATCTAACCATCCTCATTCATTAGTATTTAATATTACATACCATTTTTATCCACCTCTTCTTTTAAAACCAAGGACTTTTTATATTATTTTCCATTTCACAGGACCCATTTTTTTTAAGATTCTACTGTGTAGGATTTATGTAGCAACGCTGTTCTTCCATTATGTTATTAAACTTCCTCTCCCTCTCTCCCTGCCAAGTGAACTTTCTTGTCAGCATAAGATAAAGTGATGTTAATATGCTGAGCTGACATAACAATGGTCTGTAAAGTTAGGCTGTTCAATTTAAGTGTAGGTGAATTTACAGAGTCCACAGGTTTAGTAAATCTTACAAACGACATGTGAAGGTGGCTCTGTAGCTAAGAACCTCAGGGCTCCAGGGACTTCAACATGGAATTCTCAGTGTATATAATATAACCACAAGTGCCTACTCTGGATTGCCTTTTAATAGATACAATGAGATAAAAGCTGAAGTTCCTTATGAGAACTGGAGGGAAAAAAAGTTCATTGGAGAGGCTGGTATGAATCACTAACTATAATCACTAATTATAAATTTATGCTAAACTTATAAAATAATATAAAAGTAATTTTTATGATGGAAACACTTCAACAAAGTAACCTAAAATATAAATCAGATATACATAAAACAAAAATCTCATTAAAGATGTTTTGAGAGAAAAAAACTCAAGAGATATGACATTTCAACAGTTTTTTTAAAAAAAATATGCAAACACAAAAAGTGTGTAATTTGTATTCATGCAATTTTATACCATGGTACATTAGAAGTTTTGTGCTAATTCAGAAATTTTAAATATTTGTAAGTTTTAATTGCTTTAAAATGGTATAGCAAGACACAAAAATTACTCTAAATGCTATTGCTTTTGTTCCAAGTTACCTGAACATTCTCATTCCACTTTTCAACAAAAAGCCTGTCTGGAAATTCTGCAGGTAGAGATAATTGTTCTTTAAATATTTTAAGATACTGTGGAAAACCAAATGAATTCATTAAGTGAATCTGCCGGTGAGAAAATCGTGACTTCACTCTTTTTTCTAAGAGTTCCAAAATGTCCTTAAAAACAAATAGAAATTACTGTAAGATGCATGTTAAAAAAATAGTGATGTAAGAGGTATAAGTATTTAAATAAACTATCACCTATAATTAGCAATACTTATCCTATAATGCAAATTAAGCATAAACAATTTATGAAAGCTCCTAAAAACTCAAATTATTGCCTTAATCCCTTTAGGGTAGTAGGAGGGTGTGGCTTGAAAATAAACCAAGCCTCTAAAATGTTTTGTTATGCAAATTTTATTTTAATCCCCTTTTTATGTCTTTGGAGGCATGGTGATGTCATGCCTTTTACCCACTATGTTAGTCTCAGCTAATCTTTAACATTCCAAGACTTACAATAATTGCTAAAAAAAAAATCATAACTATTATTGAGTCATTATATGTCATAGTAACATTAAGAGTTTCAATAAGGAATTTTGTATATTCTATGAAGAACTCAGATAAAAAGTTAAGATAATAATATGTATTAAGACATAACATTCATGAAAATTTAAATATCTTCTTCACTGTTTCATGTAACAAAGACTCAAGTACAAAGACTCAAGTAGCAGCATGCATAATGGAGAAAAGTTCAGTTCACTGAAATATACCCACAGTTTAAGCTGAAGTCATGTACATTGAAGGAACAAACTGAAGAGGAGGAAACTGGCAGGAACACAGCACAACAGTGGTAAGTTATTGTCTTGTGGCTTTTTTATGGTGATATTTTAGAAACTACTTATATTTGTACTATTTTTCCTTAAGAAGTTAGAAATCAAGTTTACTGTTAACTTTCTATAATTAAATCTACCCAGATGATTTTCATACAACAGCAAGGTTAAGACATCAACTGTATAGAGGAAAGAATTCAAGTGATCAAAATGGGATCTTGGTTAGTTTGGGAAGGAAGACAGGAAAGATTAATAGATTGGGGTTGAAGGAGAGAGGGTGAATGAAAAACCTGGAATGTTTTTATAGCTTACAGAAAAATACAGTGCTAGTAAATGAAAATTAAAGAAAGTTATGTTCACAGACAGAAATATTATACATTTATTATCTACCAAGGAGCAGTTCTACACACCCATATAGGTAAGTGGCTGAAAGGCAGTGTAAACAACACTCTATGAAAACAATAATTAAAAACCTAAATTTGGGAATGGAAGGAAAGAAAGATGAATGTAAAAGATATTTTAGTGAACAGTAAGGACAAATTGGCAGTGTAGGGATACAGATGTCAGTAAAAAAGAATTACTTCTACAGGGAAGAACCCTTTGCTGGCAGTCACCACTCCATTTGTCCTTTTGCTCTTTACCTATAAATATGGACACATACAAACATTCTGGGAATTATACATAGAGAACAAAAATGAGCCTGTGATAACATTGCTAGGGACCCACTATTTGATCCTCAGTGGGTCAAGAACATTTGCCATCCCACTTCCACTCAAAGGAAGATTTTTTTAACAAGAAGTAAGGTGCCCCATCCCCTGTGACAGACTGCTGCTTTTGGCAAGGAGGGATAAAGTGAAGTGGAGAACCAGCCAGATGTTCTATGAGGCAGGCATATTATGAAGGCATGCATCCTAAGCTCTGAAGCATTAGGGAAGGATGGCATAGAAAGCCATTCCACAGAAGAAACAGCACTAGGAGGACTGCTGAATGATGATTCGTCAAAAGTTTCAATTTTCTAAAAAAGAAAAAGAGCTACAGAAAAAGAAAACAAATAAATGAATCTTATTTCCAGTGGTGTATACTTGTCAAGTTAAAACAGTATCATTCTGAGTTGATTCCAAGCATTTTCAAAATATGAAAAGAATCATAAATATAAACATAGAAACTATTGGTGATTTTTATCAAACAGTGGTAAGATTATTTAACTTTCTCTTTACTTGCTAATGTAGAAATTATATTTATAGCATAATCTGACTTCATTTTTTTTATTTAGTGATTCCACTGGAGGATGTAGGCATTTATGAGCATGTGTAATAACTGTTTTCTTGTTTTTCTCCGTCTGAGTTGAAAAGTGGGATAAATGCACCAGGTATCAGTGAAGCACATTTAAAAAATGCCTAGTACAATGACCTGCATGAGTGACTATGTTGGTAATTAAGTTTTAATTTTCTAAATATTATAATTTACTTTTTAATAGAAAGACTTACCAATCTACATGTAAGACCAATAACTGCTATTGGAGTCTGTGCAGACTGAGAAATGTCAAAAAGATTATAGAGGAGTGTTTGGTTTCTATGATGAGCAAAGAGATCAAATTCATCTAATATGAAGATCACTGGACAACTACTAGTCCGGTCACCTAAGATAAAATAAGAGTTTATATTAACAAGCAATTATATTAACCTTTATTAAATTTCCAAACTATTTACTACATTTCACTTTTTAAAACTTAATTCAACAAACAAATATTGATAGCCTATTTTGAGTATAGTACTCACCAATGCATGTACATTTATTCAACCAAAACAAATTATTCACAGGACAAGATAGCATTAAGTACTTCAGACTAATTACTAGTAATTTACTGAGGAAAATTTTTTAAAAATCACTTAAATAACTAAAGACTATTACTTTTGCCCTGGCCAGTTTGGCTCAGCAGTTAGAGCATCGGCCTGCGGTCTGGAGAGACCCAGGTTCGGTTCCCATTAAGGACATGTACCTCGGTTGCAGTTTGTCCCTGGCCCTGGTTGGTCGTGCAGGTGGCAGCCACTCGATGTGTCCCTTTCACGTTGATGTTTCTCTCTCTCTCTCTCTCTTCCTCTCTCTCCCTCCCACTCTGTCTGTGCAAAAAATGGAAAAATGTCCTCGGGTGAGGATAAAAAAAATAAAAATAAATAAAGACTATTACTTTTAAAATTATGTACACAGAGTCCTTCTATCATCAGAAAACTTACAAACATCTTTTAATATTTATAGAGACCAAATTACCTTGAGGTTAAATATAAAAAGAGTCACTATGCTCAAAACTATTATTTCAGAAAAGACCTGTTTACTTAGAAATACAAAGTATACCTTCCAATACAAATAATATTTATAAACAATGATTAAGACTATTAAGTTCATTCAAAACCACTATAATTCCTTCTAACCACAATTTTAATATTGCAACAACAGGGAAAAGTTCAACATGACTCTGAATTAATTTTTCTCATCACAATAGCCTTCGCAAAAGAATCACTATTACCTTAATATTTAATGCTTTTATATTTGCATAAACAAGTGAAAAGAGGAGACCGAAAAATGGCGGCGGAGTGAACGGAGCTACACAGACTGTCTTCCAGAACCAAACTGGAATTACAACTATAACACAGACAAATCGACGGGAAAAACCAACAGAAAAGCAGCTTGCGAGGACCATACAAAGAGGGACACTGACTCGATCCCGGTAGGCTTGCGAAGGCGCGAGACGGGGCTGGGAGCACACTGTCAGCAGCTCGGCAGCGGCCTCAGCTGGGAGCAGCGCCCTCCGGTCACACTCCCAGGCTGCTCCACAGCGCAGCCGGGACAGAGGCTGAAACAGCCACAGCCACTCACCTTGGGCTCCGGCAGAAGGAGGGCAGACTGGAATGGAGCTGTGTCGGGACACTCGGGGTTTGGAGGGCGCTCAGAGCTTTGGCTGAGTGCACCCACGCAGGACTGTGGCCACATTGCTCCTTCCCAGGGCTCTGAGGAGAGGCAGCAGCCCCTCCCTCGGAGATCCATCCCCACCCTGTGGGCCATTGAAGTGCTAATTGAGGCTCACTAACTACCAGCCTCTGCCCCACCCTCCTGAAAGCCCTTTGGCTGAGCACCAGAGGGAGTTTTTCAATCAACTGACAACCCAAAACTCATCAAGTAACCTAGACTGCTAGCCTCCAGGCAAAAAGCTAGAGGATAACAGTACCTTTCCTGGGCTGGCAACCTTAACCAGGAAAGTAAGACTTGACAGTGGTGTTCAACGCGGGTCCTCCCTTGCTCATCTAAACACAGGAGAGGGAGCCACAAACAGCAGAACACCAACACCCACAGGGAGAACTTGACAGGCTCCAAAGCCCACAGTGATAGCCAAAATGGTGAAACACAGAAACACAAGCCAAATGAAAGACCAAGACACCTCCACCGAAGATGAGATCAACGCGGAGCAATTAGGCATGTTAACAGAGCTAGAATTCAGAGCCATGATCTTGAGGAAGCTGAACAGCATGAGTAAGGACATAGAGACACTGAAAATAAGCCAATTGGAAATTAAAAACCAACAAGAAGAGATAAAAAAATGACATATCAGAAATGAAAAACACATTGGAAGGTTTAAAAAGCAGAGTAGGGGAAGCTGAGGACCGGATCAGTGAATTAGAAGACAGGGTAGAAAAAATCAACCAATCAGAAAAACAAAAGGAAAAAACTATTAAAAAACAGGAAGACAGCTTAAGAGAACTATGGGACAACTGGAAACGTAATAATATTCGCATCATAGGAGTCCCCGAAGAAGAAGAAAATGAGCAAGGGATAGAGAATATATTCAAAAAAATAGTGAGAGAAAACTTCCCTAAGTTGGTGAAGGAAGAAGGCATTCAAGTTCAAGAACCACAGAGAGTCCCAAGTAAGAAGAACCCAAACAGGCCCACACCAAGACACATAGTAATTAAAATGCCACAAATTAAAGACAAAGAGAGAATCCTAAAAACAACAAGAGATAAGCAACAGGTTACCTACAAAGGGAAACCCATAAGGCTCTCAGCTGACTTCTCACAAGAAACACTCCAGGCCAGAAGAGAATGGCATGAAGTAATCAAAGTCATGAAAAACAAGAATCTGAATCCAAGACTACTCTACCCAGCAAGGCTATCATTCAAAATAGAAGATCAAATAAAGAGCTTCCCAGACAAAAAAAGGCTAAGGGAATACATTAGCACCAAACCAGCACTGCAAGAAATTTTAAAAGGACTGCTGTAATTAGCAGTAGAAATGGGAAGAAAAATGGAACCACACCAAACAAAAATGGCAATAAATAAGTACATATCAATAATCACCTTAAACGTAAATGGACTGAATGCTCCCATAAAGAGACACAGAGTAGCTGATTGGATAAGAAAGCATGACTCATCTATATGTTGTTTACAAGAGACCCACCTCTCAACAAAAGACTCACATAGGTTGAAAGTGAAGGGATGGAAAAAAATTTTCCAAGCAAATGGAAAGCAAAAAAAAGCTGGGGTAGCAATTCTCATATCTGATAAAATAGATTTCAAAATGAAGACCATAACTAGAGACAAAGACGGCCACTACATAATATTGAAAGGATCTATCCAACAGGAAGATATCACCTTGATAAACATATATGCACCCAATATAGGAGCACCAAAATATATTAAAAATCTTCTGGAGGACTTCCAAGGAGAAATCGACAATAATACAATCATAGCAGGGGACTTCAACACCCCGTTGACAGCACTGGATAGATCCTCTAGGCAAAAAATTAGCAAGGAAACAGAGACTCTAAATGAAGCACTAGACCAAATGGATTTAATAGATATCTACAGAGAACTACACCCCAAAACTACAGAATACACATTCTTCTCAAGTGCACATGGGACATTCTCAAAGATAGACCACATGATAGGACACAAACTAAATCTCTACAAGTTTAAGAAGATTGAAATCATATCAAGCACCTTCTCACATCACAATGCCATGAAACTAGAAATCAATTGCAACAAGAATATGCAAAGACATTTCAACACATGGAGGCTAAATAGCATGTTATTAAACAATAAATGGGTCACCGAGGAGATCAAGGAAGAAATTAAAAACTTCCTGGAAACCAATGAAAATGAACACACAACAACACAAAATCTATGGGATGCAGCGAAAGCAGTTCTGAGAGGGAAGTTCATAGCACTACAGGCCTACCTCAAAAAACAAGAAAAATTTCTAATTGACTGTCTAACCTCACAACTTAAAGAATTAGAAAGCAAACAAAAAGAAAACCCCAGAGCAAGTAGAAGGAAGGAAATAGTAATGATCAGAGCAGAAATAAATGACAAGAGACCAAAAAAACAATTCAAAGGATCAATGAAACAAAGAGCTGGTTTTTCGAAAAGATAAACAAGATTGATGGACCCTTAGCTAGACTCACCAAGAAACAAAGAGAGAGAACCCAAATACACAAAATCAGAAATGAAAGAGGAGAAGTAACAACCAACACCACGGAAATACAAAAGATCGTTAACAACTACTATGAACAACTATATGGCAACTATATGGCAACTATATGACAATCTAAGCGAAATGGACAAATTTCTAGAAACACACAGTCTCCCAAAACTATTCCCGGAAGAGAGAGAAAACTTGAACAGACCAATAACAACTAAGGAAATTGAAGAGGTAATCAAGACTCTCCCAGCAAACAAAAGCCCAGGCCCAGATGGTTTCACGGGGGAGTTTTACCGAACATTCAAAAAAGAACTGACACCCATTCTCCTCAAACTATTTCAAAAAATTCAAGAAGAAGGAAGACTTCCAAACACGTTCTATGAGGCCAGCATAATTCTAATTCCAAAACCAGAAAAAGACACTACGAAGAAAGAAATCTACAGGCCAATATCCCTGATGAACATAGACGCCAAAATCCTGAACAAAATATTAGCAAATCGGATCCAGAAATACATCAAAAAAATTATTCACCATGACCAAGTGGGATTCATTCCAGGGATGCAAGGCTGGTACAATATTCGCAAATCAATAAACGTGATACACCACATAAACAAAATGAAGAATAAAAACCACATGATCATATCAATAGATGCTGAAAAAGCATTCGACAAAATCCAGCATCCATTTCTGATAAAAACGCTCAGCAGTGTTGGAATAGAGGGATCATATCTCGACATAATAAAGGCCATATATGAAAGACCTACAGCCAACATCATACTCAATGGACAAAAACTAAAAACATTTCCATTAAGAACAGGAACAAGACAGGGATGTCCACTTTCGCCACTCTTATTTAACATTGTACTGGAAGTCTTAGCCACAGCAATCAGACATGAAGAAAAAATAAAAGGGATCCAAATTGGAAAGGAGGAAGTGAAACTGTCATTATTCGCAGATGACATGATATTGTACATAGAAAACCCTAAAGACTCCATTAAAAAGCTATTAGACTTAATAAATGAATTTGGCAAAGTAGCAGGATACAAAATTAACGTCAAGAAATCGCCGGCATTCTTGTACATCAATGATGAACTCACAGAAAGAGAAACTGAAAAAACAATCCCATTTACCATCGCGCCAAAAAAATTACGATACCTAGGAATAAACTTAACCAAAGAAGTAAAGGACCTATTTGCAGAAAACTACAGGTCATTGAAGAAAGAAATAGAGGAAGATATAAAAAAGTGGAAGCACATACCCTGTTCATGGATTGGAAGAATTAACATCATTAAAATGTCCATACTACCCAAAGTAATCTATAGATTCAATGCAATCCCCATCAAAATACCAACGACATATTTCATAGAACTAGAACAAATACTTCAAAAGTTCATATGGAACCAAAAAAGACCCCGAATAGCCACAGCAATCTTGAAAAAGAAGAACAAAGTAGGTGGGATCACAATACCAGATATCAGGTTATACTACAAAGCGACTGTAACCAAAACGGCCTGGTACTGGCACAAGAACAGGTATATAGACCAGTGGAACAGAACTGAAAACCCAGAAATGGACCCAAAGCAATACGTTCAATTAATATTTGACAAAGGTGGCAAGAGCATACAGTGGAGTAAAGACAGCCTCTTTAATAAATGGTGTTGGGAAAATTGGACAGCTCCATGCAAAAAAATGAAACTAGACCATCAGCTTACACCATACACAAAAATAAACTCGAAATGGATAAAAGACTTAAATGTGACCCGTGAATCCATAAAAATTCTAGAAGAAAATGTAGGCAACAAAATTTCGGACATCATACGGAGCAGAATTTTCAATGATACATCACCTAAGGCAACAGAAATAAAGGAGAAAATGAACACCTGGGACTACATCAAACTAAAAAGCTTCTGCACAGCAAAAGAAACAATCATCAAAATGGAAAGGCAACCCACTGTATGGGAGAACATCATTGCCAATGATGTATCAGATAAGGGGTTAATTTCCAATATATATAGAGTGCTCATACAACTCCACAAAAGGAAGACAAAGAACCCAATTACAAAATGGGCAGAGGAGCTGAATAGACACCTCTCCAAACAGGACATACAAATGGCCAAGAGACATATGAAGAAATGCTCAACATCACTAATCATCAGAGAGATGCAAATTAAAACAACAATGAGGTATCACCTCACACCTGTCAGAATGGCCGCCATCAACAAATCATCAAACAAGTGTTGGCGAGGGTGTGGAGAAAAGGGGACTCTAATACACTGCTGGTGGGAATGCAGACTGGTGCAGCCGCTATGGAAAACAATACGGTGCTACCTCAAAAAATTAAAAATTGAACTTCCATTTGACCCAGTGATCCCACTGCTGGGAATATACCCTAAGAAGCCTGAAACACCAATCAGGAAGAACATATGTACCCCCATGTTCATAGCAGCACTATTTACAATAGCTAAGATCTGGAAACAGCCCAAGTGTCCACCAGTAGACGAATGGATAAAAAAGCTGTGGTACATATACACAATGGAGTACTATGCAGCGGTAAGAAAGAAAGATCTCTTATCCTTTGAGACGACATGGAGGGACCTGGAAAGTATTATCCTAAGTGAAAGAAGCCAAGCAGAAAAAGACAAATACCACATGATCTCACTTATATACGGAATATAATGAACATAACAGTGTGAGGAATACAGTAGACCCAGACACATGGAAGTAGGGCACAGACTAACATCCCTCAGAAGAGGGGATGGGGGGTGGGGGGGTGGGAAGAGATAAACCACAGAACTTATATGTATGTATGCATGAGCAATGGACATGGACAACTAAGCCGGGGACAGGATGGAGGGGGGGTGGGGTGGAGGGTGCCAATGGGGTAAAAAGGTAAAAAAAAAAAACAAGTGAAAAGAAAATCTCATAAGGACACACTCACTCCAAAAGATATTAAAACATTTCACACTAATCTAAATGGCATAAAAACCAAAGGGACTGCTCAGAAGTCTAGAAACAGGACTATATTATTAGAAATTTAGTATTGGTAAAACATAGAATTATACATCAATAGGGAAAATTGATTTATTCAAAGTTAGAGGTCCACTTTACACCCTACCAAAATAAATTCTAGCCAAATTATTAAATACAAGCATATGTATTAGATGAAAACACAATCAATATCTTTAAACTCTGAAGAGAACCAGTTTTGACGAGGTAAAAAATTTAAAGCTCTGTTCAGCAGAAAACCCAAACCAAATTTAAGAGAAAAGAAACATTAAGTGGAAGAATTTCCATAAATAAATACAAGCTAAACAAGAGAAGGCAAAGAACCAACAGGAAACACATGAACCAGGAAATATCAGTGGTCAATAAAAGTAGAAAATTATGATTATTACCAAAATTAAGCAAATTAAACTAACAAATTAATTTTCTATTAAGTAGACAAACATAAAAAAATTGTTTTGGAAATTATGAAGAAAAGGGTACTCTGAAACATGTTTAGTAGTTTGGTAATGATCCTTTTAAATGTTGTACCTTTTTGTTGTTGTTGTTAATCCTCACCCAAGGATATTTTTCCTTTAGATAGAGTGGAAGGGAGGGAAGGTGACGGGGGGGGGGGGGGTGGTGAGGGAGAGAAAGAGAGAGAAAGAAACATCGATGTGAGACATATCAACTGGATGCCTCTGGCAGGGCTCTGGCAGGACCCTGTCTGGGGCCGGGGAGTGAACCTGCAACTCAGGTACATGCCCTTGACCAGGAATCGAACCTGTGACCCTTTAGTTTGAGGGCAGATGACACTCTAACCACTGGGTCAAACTGGCCAGGGCTAAATGCTATACCATTTATTTATTTATTTACTTACTTACTTACTGATTTTACAGAGAGTAAGGGAGAAGGAGAGAAAGAATCATCAATGACAGAGAACTTCGATTGGCTGTCCCTGCATGCCCCACACTGGGGATTGGGCCCACAACCTGGGCATGTGTCCTGACCAGGAATCGAATTGGAGACCTCTTGGTGCATGAGCTGATGCTCAACCATTGAGCCACACCTGGCAGGGCCTAAATGCTGTACCTTTTAAACGAGAATTCTATGCACTAAAGTTTACTCCAGGAAATACCTGGATTACTATCTAAGAATTTCTTCCTAATTATACAAAATTAGAAATAAAAGCCCATAACTGGTGACTAACAAGATATAATTTATATTTTTAACTTAAGTTAATTTATAAAATGAAATATATAAGAACCATAAAAATGACTAGGCAGCTCAATATTTACTGACGTGGAAAGATGCTCACAACATACTGTTCATAAATGAAAAGAGGTAGACTATACAATATGGAAAATGAGTTTATTCTTATAAAAATTAATTCTCTGCATCAATGATATACTGTAGGTGAATAAAGATATGAAACCAAAGTTAATTGGGATAATCACTATTGCAGTATGAGAATATAGTGAGTATTATTTAAATCCTCACCTGAGCCCTGGCCATTTTGGCTCAGCGGTTAGAGCGTCGGCCTGCGGTCCAGAGAGACCTGGGTTCAGTTTCTCTAAGGGCACGTACCTCGGCTGCAGTTTGTCCCTGGCCCCAGTTGGGTCATGCGGGTGGCAACCACTCGATGTGTCCCTCTCACATCAATCTCCCTCCCACTCTATCTGAACAAAAAATGGAAAAATGTCCTTGAGTGAGGATAAAAAAAAACCACTATATTAAAAATAAATCCTCACCTGAGGATATTTTTCCATTTATCTTCAGACAGAGTGTGAGGGGGAGAGAGAGAGAGATATATTGATGTGAGAGAGACACATCGATTAGCTGCCTCCCGCATGACACCAACCAGGGCTGGGGACTGAACTGCAAGTGAGGTACGTGCCCTTGACCAGAATCGAACCCGTGACTCTGGTCTGGGAGCAGAGGCTCTACCTACTGAGCCAAATGGCCAGGGCTATTTTATTCTTTTTAATATTTCTTTAGTTTATTAATTTTTTGGTAAAAGCATATTATTACCTTTTAATCAGAGGGAAATAAAACTAAACATTTATCTTTGATACTGTTAAATATATTAATATTTACCTTTTTTTAAAGCTTCCAGAATAAATGAAAGGTTTTCAGCAAAGCTTCCCTGAATAACAAAAAAACATACCATGACCAGATGTTCAGTAAAATAAAAACGAGAATGGCTATCTGGCCCTTAGACATTATATAAACACATTCTGTTTCTGACTCTTACACATTATACAGACACTGTATTTTTATAGTAAATTAGAGGCATTGGCCAGATTCTCAACTGAACATCTCTATGCTTACAATCTAAAACTTAAATAGAAAAACAGAGATGGCATAGCACTGAAAATGACACTACTATGTCATGTTCAAAATTTTATATTTTCTGGATAAAATTCATCGATCTGCTCATGTTATTTAAAGGAAGAGGGGAGAGAGACAAACTGACAGACAGACATCGGTTGCCTCTCTAACAAGCCCTGACCAGGGATTAAACCCACAACCTTTTTGATGTACAGGACGATGCTCCAACCAACTGAGCCACCTGGATGGGGCTAAAGGTAGCTTTTAAGAGTTGCTACATTATAAATATAGTCAGAGAACTAGAAGTCCATTGCACTTTGTATCTTCAATACATCAGGTTCTTGCAAGTCTCAAATTAATTTCAAACACTAAAAAAATAACCATGAATTTAAATAAAATACAAAAGGAAAAGGGAGAAGAAATTTGTCTCAAATATTAGATACTGTAATAGTGCATCTCTATTCAAGAGCACATTATGGAATTTGTATATATCATATCAATTTGACTATGCTTACTTGGAGCACAGCCAAACACTTTGGATACAACTTAAAATATTCTAGATGAAAATTAATACAGCAGATGTATTATCCAGATGTTACAGCTTGTAGATAAAGGCATGTTAAAATATTCTTTCATTAAAGTCATTAATTTATACTTCAGATTTTTTAATTTAAAGAAACAGCCAACTTTAAATTTGAGGAGATGTAAAAGAGAAAAGAAACCAATTTGTTTGTTTGCTAATCAAGAGAACTGATATAAAATAGTGTAAGTTTGTAAGAGCCTTTGTGTATTTTGTGACTGCATACTGTCAAGTCAATACTATTTCCAAGGTAGGCAGGGCTGGAGGTATTTACAAAAACATAAACAAAGGCAATTTTGTTGGGAGATCAGTAGTCAAAGTATTCAAAGGTTGCTTCTCTTTTGGGTATTTTTTAAGTCTATTGTGCCCGACATTAAATATATACCTATATAAATACATATATACATATTATAAGCATGTACTTATATAAATATACATATGTGTGATTATATGTATAATATACAAATTTGTGATAACACATCAAAACAGAAAGGCTCTGGATTAAGTTAAGTGTTTCAGGTTCTTAATGTCCAGTCTTTGTTATTTTATGACTTTAAGCAAACTATTTATACTCCCTGAGCCTCAGATGCCTAACTGATATAATGTAGAAGTTAAATGAATAACATCTCTAGGTGATAATTATGGTAACAATAGTGATAACCAGGACAGGATGATAAATAGCTGCGCCTTTTTATTATTTTATATGAATCCAATACAAATAGGTTCATCTAAGAAAGTTAGAACACCAATCTACATCAATTGGAAACCAAAAGCCAAACTGTGCCTCTATAACAGTAATTCCTTGACCAAGTAGGTAACTATTTTCAGCATTAAATTCCAACAGAAGGTAGAACATTATTAGAAGGGACATTCTGAAATTGCACTTCAGAGGCCTGCAGACAGTGAAAGAGTGACACACAACTGGCTCAATTTGTTATAGATAATTACAAAAGAATGAATTACTAAATGCTAGGAGGCTTTCACAGCTATAGCATCACTGCATTAGAGAGTGCACAGTTTAAAGATTAGTGACAGCACTGCATGACTACTTCTCCCACGCTACCCAAGTCTCGGTAGACCACAAACAGACTGCTATAGTATTTTTAAACATATTAATCTATTTCCAAAGACAAGAATCAGAATATTTATCTTACAAATAAAAAAACAAACACAATAACTACATAAACCTGTTTTTGATGAATAGATGTACCCTAGTACATTATACTTTATACATTTTTATGAAAAAGTATCTTGCATATTTCAATTTAGAATCTCTAAATCCACCCTAGCTTTCCAAAAATATAAAGCTATGATAATATAGGCTTTACTTTGATGCTTATTAAATAAAATAGAAATGATACGTACAAAAACTTTATCTCCAACTACATTTTCCAGATTTAACTGCCTTGTGATTTCCTTTAGAGCTATTTTATCATTGATCTGCAGCAGTCCTGAAATAAAGCCCATTTAAAAGTATTTAATTAAAATAAAATTAGTATTTGATACAGTACAGATCATTTTCCAGTCTAGGAAATGTTCTAATGCTTTTTAAATTTAACTGGAAATAAAAAGTCAAATACTGTGAGTTTATATTTCCTTTCACAACTGAGCAATGCAAACATTTGATAGATTCGAAGAACAATCTTTGGGGTTAGGGTTATTTCAAAAAAAAGGAAAAGACAATACAAAAACCAAAAGTCTTCCTACTTTATTTATTTATTATTTTAGTTTCTAAAAATATTGTATATGGTGAGCTAAATTAAGAGTTGTTAAACATAAACCTAGTTTTAAAAATATAATTGTGAACCCAAATTTAAAATATACAAGTGAATTTAGTTTCATAATATAAAAAGTTCATATGATTTATATCATTTCCAATGGCAAAATAAGGACATACTTACCATTTAGGTGAACTTGTAATACATTTTCACTCACATCTTCTACTTCCATTAGTTCTTTCAAAGCATGGTTTATTAACTAAATAATATCAAAACATTTATAAAATGTTTAATAATAGATAAAAGATAAGTCTGTATTTTAAAACTAATATAGTAATAGTAATAATTACTACTAAAATATACTGAGAAAGTATTACATACCTTAAACTGTTCCATTATATAGCTTCACATTTTTATAATTACAGGATTCTATTTCACATATTAGATTCTTTATTATATTTTTTGATTTGTGACATCTTACTACTCATTAAAATACCATATATCTTTTCATATTAATACTGCATACATTTTTTTTAATTTTTGAAAATGAACAGAATTAAGAAATAAAAACTTTTTAAAAGGAAGATGAGACTATTCCTTGTAACAGTAAAATAGAAGGGTACTATTACAAAATAAATGGTACAGAAAAACAGGCTGCATATACCAAAAAAGCTAAAATGGTTCCAAAATTTAGTGAAAACAAAAGGAATTATTCAACAAAGTCAATGGGACAACTGGTAGACTATTTAGAAAAACAAAATACTATTTGTTGTAGCCTATCCTCTCTATCTGTCACTATAACATCTTTGTGCAATAGGAAGAAGCAATATCCTCATTTAAAATTATTAGGTTTTACAACAGAATATCAAACATAATAGCTATTTCTTACTTATCTGTACAGTTTTTAAAGCATATGGAACTCTACATCAGAACACAGGTAGTCCAGGTCCTCTTTAAAAGAGACAACCTCAAAATATCAACTGTCATACCATATATAAAAGCCCAGCTGAGACATGAAATTCTCAAAAGAGAACTGTCATGAAACGAGGTGGTGCTTCTCTGCCTTTGGGTCAAGTCAGACCTTATTACCAGAAAACACAAAGTTGGGCCCTCAAAATATGGCTTTTGCCATATTTTCTTAGTAAGCTACTATGTTCTGGCCCCCACCTCTTGATATTTTATTTCTATAACATTTATATATCACTGACTCTGATTTTTTATTTAAATTATTTTATGTTTGATAAATTGTTAAAAACTATTCCAAATTCTTTGCAGAATGAAATAGGATTAAGGAGGGGGTCAATGGGAAAAAAGGGGGCACATCTGTAATATTTTCAACAACAACAAAAAGGAATCAGAATCTGCAAGAAAAGTAACAGGGTTAATAATAGTACCTTCATTTTATATATGCACAAAGAGAGTTATAATGGATTTGTTTATAGAGTACCCTTTTCCACTGAATTTACTTTAAGCATCAAGCTGTCATGATTTGCCTAGATCACCTCAGATCTTTTTTGGGGGGTGTGTGTGGTCTGAAATAATTTAAATGTATTAGCAAGTATGTCTTCAAATAATTTTTTTCCATTCTGAATATTGCTAAAATTTAATTGTAGCAATTAGCTAGTGTAATTAGCTAGTTAACCAATAGTATAATTTCAGTTTTTCAATAGATACAATGTAATCTTTACAAATATTTTAAACTACAAAATATACTAAAAAAAATTAGTTGGTTATTAATGTTACACCAACCAGCATAACCAACTTGGCTACCCCATTTCCACATCCTTTGTAGCTAAAAACTAATTTTGCAAATCTATTAGCAGAGTTTGCTTAAAGCTGCCAGCATCTAGGAATTTTTATGCTTACCTATTATTACTATTCCCAAATACTTTTAATAAACACGTCATCCAGTAATAAGGAAAGAAAAAAACCATCATACTTAACCATCTAGCAAATTTCTTTGTCTCTATAGTTATTTCTACATAAAACAGTATTTTCCAGGATCCAATCTGTAATTTGGAAATATATATACACATATCTGTGTATATATAGATATCAAATGTTTGAAATACAACAAACATACTATCTATAACCTTTATTAATCAACTGTAGATTTTTTCCCCCACCACCCAAAGTCAAATCATTCTCCATCACCATATAATAGGCCCCCTTCACCTCCCCATCCCCTTAATAAACTATAGATTTTGAATTTTTGTATTTCATACAGGCCAAGAGTAATATCTTAAATATACTGTAATATTATTTTAAAATCTGAATTTACATAGTTATATTAATGAGAGTTCTTGTCTAAAAATAATCTATTTTATGTCTTAAGATAGTCCCAGACAAAGCAAATTACAAAAGTGACGGTTAAACAATGCTCCTTAGTTCTTTGACCTCTCAATATTGAAGTATAGCAGAAATAAATTAAATTATACCAAAATAGAATACCAAGTAGGGGATTCTTCGATATTCCAGTGAAGTCACACTAAATAAATGACTTCAAAGTACCAGAACAGGGCTCTAGTTTAAGAAGTAACAACAACTGGATACACAATCAGTATGCCAAGAATAACCTATCCATTTTATTAACGTATAAATACTGTGCTATAATGTCTATTTCCTTCTTTAAACCTGAGTAAATAGAAAAAGTAGACATAGAAATTTATATATAAAAAAAAGATGATGTAACATGAAAGAAAGGGAAAGGCAAGCTGATGAAAAATATTAATTATTACTGAAAATGTATATAGAAAAAAATATGTTGAGCTATTTAAGTCAGACCTAGAGACATACAAAACAACAGACAGAGAGTTCATGACAAGGAGCCTAGAGAAGCAAAAAGGATTGTTAGAAAACTAAAATGCAACATCACAGAAGCAAACAAACTAATTAGGTGAAGAAAAGCACATTGGTGATAAGGAAAATGCTGAGGAGGAAAAAAATGATAAAAGAAGAGAAACATGAAGAAATGACATGAAATTAGAACAAAAACTTAGTAAGTGGATACTCTAATCCTAAGAAAAGACAAAAAGAAGCGAAAGAGAAGAAATACTCAAAAAAAATTCTTTAGTGAAGACCTAAATTCATTTTAAGAAAGTTTGTATAATATCAGTTAATTTTATTATCAATATTTGGACATAGCCTGTGAATAACTAATGCAATGAGACAAGAAAAAGAAATATAAAGTATGGATAGAAATAGAGAAGGAAGAAATAAAACTTTCTTTGTTTGCAGAAAACATGACTGTGTATGTAGAAAATTACAAAGAATCTACAAATTCCTGGAACTGATAATCAATTATAGCACATTTGAAGGATACAAGGTAATACACAGAAGTCATTTACGTCCCTATATATCAACAATGAACACTCAGAATATGACATTAAAAACAATACTATTTACATTAACACCCAAAAATTTAGATACTTAGGTATAAGTCTAAAAAATATGTATAAGATCTACCACAAACTCTAATGAAAGGCCTGAATAAATGGATAAATATAGTATGTTCATGAATGTGAAAGATTCAATATAGTTAAACCAATTCATCTCAAAGTGATCTATAGATCCAACATAAAATCCCACAATTGAATATAAAAATTACCAGTATTTTATAGTTATTAATAAATTTATTCTGAAGTTAATATGGAAATGCAAAGTACCCAGGATACCTGCAACAATAATGAAGAAGCAAGAAGTTAAACGACTGACACTATGGAATTTCAAGACTTATTATAAAGTTACAATAATCAAGACAGCTTAATGTTGACACAAGAACAGATAATAAAAACAGAATAAAGAGCCCAGAAAGAGACATACACAAATATATTTACACTTTTCAAAAACATTAATTTGAAATGAATAATAGATGTAAATGTAAATGCAAAGAACTATAAAACTTACAGAAAATAACATAGGAGAAAATCTAGAAAGCCTGAGTTTTGGTGATGAAGTTTTAGATACAACACCAAAATCACAATCCATGAAAGAAACAGTTGATAAGTTGGACTTATTTTCAATTAAAAGTTTCTCTTCCAAGAACACTGTTAATAGAATTGAAAGACAAACAGACTAGGAGAAAATATCTGCAAAACACTTATCTAACATATTCAAAATATACAAATAACTCTTAAAACATATCAATAAGAAAAGAAACAACTCAATTTAAAAATTATCATAAAGTATCTCACCAAAGTTAAACAGATGAAAAATAAGCATACAAAAAGATGGTCAATAACGTATAACATAAGAGAATTGTAAACATAAGCAAAATAAGCTAGTAAGAGAAAGACAAGTATCACATGATTTCACTTATGTTTGGAATCTAATGAACAAAATAAGGTTATAAACAAAATAGATCCAGAGACATGGAAGTAGGTAACAGACTGACAAACCTCAGAGGAAAGGAAGGGTGGTGGGAGAAACAGGATCAGGGAGGAGGGACATCTATAATGCTTTCAACAATAAAGATAAATTTAAAAAAAGGAAAAAAAAAAGAAAAAAAAGCAATGAGATACCACTATATATCTACTAGAATGGCTAGAATGGCTAAAATTTTTTAAACTGACTACCAAATCCTGGTGAAGATACATAGCAAAAGAAACTCATTCAGTGCCAGTAAGAAGCAACATGGTATGACCACTTTGGAAGACAGACAACTTCTTACAAAGCTGAACACAATGCAACATGGTGCCCCAAAGTATTTACCCAATTAAGTTGAAGACTTACATCTACAGAAAAAACTTGCCCCAAAATTGCCAAAAATAGGAACCAACCAAGATGTCCTTCATTAGGTGAATGGATAAACAGTGGTACATTCATACAATGGGATATTATTCAACAATTAAAAGAAATGACCTGTCAGGCCATGAAATGACATGGAGGAACCTTAAATGCTTATTGCTAAGGAGAAGCCAATATGAAAAGTTTCTCTACTGTATGATTCCAACTATATGACATTTTGAAAAAGGTAAAAGTATAAAGACATTAAAAAAATCAGTGGTTGCCATGGGTGGTGGTGGTGGTGGTGGCAGGGTGAAAGGATAAACAGGTAAGCACAAGATGTTTTTAGAAAGCTGAAATTATTTTGTATGACATTAAAATAGTGGATATACGACATTATGTATTTATTAAAACCCATAAAATTGTACAATACAAAAAGTGAACCTTAATGTAAACTATGGACTTTAGTTCATGATAATGTATCAATATCAACTCATTGATTGTAACAAATTCATCATGCTAAGTCAAGAAGTTAATAATAGGAGAAACTGTTTATGTGTGTGGTGGTGGGTATGGGAGGATAAAATGGCAATTCTGTTTATCTGCTTAATTTTTTTAGTAAAAAACTTATTTATTTTAGCCCATTTTCTAATGAAATGCAGTACAGTTTTAATTTGTTTTTAGTTACACATTTTTAGTAAGTGTTTACTAGTTCTATTTCTTTTTTTCTGAACTTTCTCCATGCCCTTAGTAACAAACTTCCAAGGTGAAACTCAGAATAAATTCAGTCAGCTGCTCACGTTGTAATTTTAGGCTTGACACTTTGGTGTACAAATCACTGAGATTCAACTTTTCTGTTGTAATGCCATTTTGTTTCAAGATACACAGTTTACAATGGAATAGATCTAATGCACTGATTTCCTAGATCTCATTTTCTTCTGTACTGATACAAGAGTATCACTATGAAGCTTCTAGAATTAAAATATTATCTAACAATGTTCTTCAAATATTAGTATGATGATAATGATGTATTTTCCAGATATAATAATGAAAAGAATACATGAGGTGATAGTTACCTTATCTATAAATAGGGACAAAACCAGGTAGTATAAACAATAGAAAACAGAACATAGATAAAAGGCACGAGGTACATGTTCAATAAATGCTAGTTTGCTTTTTCCACTAGCAATCACTAATTCTTCAAGGACAGAAGACCATGATAAAACAAACATCAATTAAATTTTGTTACTCTGAGGAAAAATAAGGTAAAACAAATATGCTTGCCCAGCTGGCGTGGCTCAGTGGACTGAGCATCATCCCATGGACTGAGAGAACCTGGTTCAATTCCCGGTTAGGGCACATGCCTGGGTTAGGGGCTTGATCTCCAGTGGGGGCATACAGGAGGCAGCTGATTCATGTTTCTCTCTCACATTAATATTTCTCTCTCTCTCTCTAAAAAATCAATAAAAACATATTTTTAAAAAAGGAAAAGATATGCTCAACTCAAATATATCACCTAAACTTTATAAGGTTTCAATGATTTAAGTAAAAAAAGCAAATGTTAATAACAAAATAATGAAACACATTTCAGTGTTTGTCCATAGGAAACATCACAAGCCTACCAAAACAAACACCAGAAATAAGTAGCTTTACCATGGTCTTTCCTGATCCTCGGGGTCCAACAAGGAGAACAGAGTTACTTTCTCCATGGATAGCAGTTCTTTTTAGCAGCTCAATTAAGTGTCTGAAATGACAAAAATAGGCCCAAATATTAAAAGCTGGAATAATTTCTAGGTATTATTTTTTAAAAGCTAAATTTGAATATGCATAGAAAACAAGCATTCCTTTTTTCTTTCCCTCTGAGCACTTGACTTATGCTCTAAATAGTCCTATACAGAACCAGAAGAGATTGTTGGCTAATACTGAATCTTTGGAAACCACAGGAGGAAATCAAGTAAGTTTGAAATATCTTGGTCTTTATGATAGTATGGGATAAGAGATAATAGTAGCAGCTCTTGGACCTTTCATTCCAAAGCTGGATGCCAAGTATTAGATACAAGCTTGAATTATCTCCGTAAAACCAGATTAACAGAAACAACATAAGACTAAAAATTAAAAGGCTTCCTCATTATGAAAATATTTATATTTCTTTTGCTTCATGATATTTAATATTTCCATATCCAAAGCAAAATTTTTTGTTCTTTAGCATTGTTTATAAAATTTGTGTATGGTAATTTCTGGAAAACCTAAAGTGCATCTGTAAGTCTACTCATTACAAACAAGGGAATAGTTAAACTTACTTATATTGTACTTGTACTCCAAATAGGTTACTATGTGAACTCTGATGACAAAATCTTTCACGTAAAATTCTTTGTACCTGATGAAAAGAAAGTGAATTAGTATAAATAAAAATATTATATACATACAATTAAAAAACAGCAGTGAGAATAAGGTATTAATAAGTCAATTCAAACTCCCTAAATAGCTTTTCTTCAAGAGCTCTGGCACCATTTTCCTGAGTTATAAAATTATCAGTTCTTTTTATCTCAAGTCCCAGAGAAAAGATGAAAATTTAGTTGTAAAGATTTCAAGAGAAAGAATTACTTACGTAAGCTACATCAGCAATGTGAAGGGTTTTAATGCATATGAATGAATGAATACTTCACTTTGTATAATATGTCAGCCAAGGAATAAAGAAAGAGAGGAGAGAATCTAACAATGTAATCTAATCTCTTAGTGCTCATGTACCACACCTTGATCTCTAGAGGCCAACACATCCGAACTGGCTCAGCTCAAACCCTACCAATCTGTACCTGCCATAAAGGTCAGGATTCTAAGGAAATACAACTTTGAAAGTTCATTTGGTTATTGAGGTACTATTAGATGCAGAGCACAATACCACAAAAAGAGCATGATCCATGCCTAAAAAAGCACTGCAACTATAGTCAACAGAAACGACACATTCAAGAAACAAACTGCAAAAAAGTAGTAACAGCAAATATGGAAATGCTCAATTATATGGAAAAAATCACATTCATCTAGGCTATAAAATAAAAAACAAGTGGAAAAATTAAGAAAAAAATTATTCAAGAATTTTTAAAAGCTAAATTTTGAGGTCATCATAGAATGAGGGGCAGAGACTTAGTTGTAAAAAATTATGTTAGAGCCCTGGCCGGTTGCTCAGCGGTTAGAGCGTCGGCCTGCGGTACGGAGAGACCCGGGTTCGGTACCTGCTAAGGGCATGTACTTCGGTTGCAGTTTGTCCCCGGCCCTGGTTGGTCGTGCGGGTGGCAGCCACTCGATGTGTCCCTTCACATCGATGTTTCTGTCTCTCTCTCTGTTCCTCTCTCTCCCTCCCACTCTACCTGAACAAAAAATGGAAAAATATCCTCGGGTGAGGATTAAAAAAAAAAAAAAAATTAGAAAATCTAGCATATTCTTCACAAAGATGGAGCATTCAAGTCATTTCTTTTCAGCATCTACTGCTAATACAGAGCTCCCCCAGGGACTCAAACCTTAGGAGGCTGTTTCAGATTTGGCCCCATCAACAGAAACCAGAAGCACCCAAGATTATTTACTTTTCCCAAACTGAGAGCATGGGGTTAATCCTTCATGTACCAAAGACATACATGAGTTCTCTTTACATGCACTACAGCATAAGCCAAGTAAATTATTCACTGGGGATAAAATAATCCATACTTATCATAATAGAGGCAGTGGAAATAATAAGAGGTTTGGTGCCAGAAGAACCTTTTAAAGTTAGCCTTTTCTAAATCTCAATTTTTAAAAAATCTAGAAAATAAAGATACTAACATTTTTCTGACAGTCCTATTTTTCAGATGAAGGCAGCTATCTCTAACACAATATAGGTATTGGAGAGGTAATAGCTGATACCTGTAAAACACTTACATGAGCAAATATGAAGACTTAACAAATCATAATGTTTATTCTTCTACCTAGATAAAATCACTAGAAATCAAAAGACAAACCTCAATCCTTTTCTTTCTTCATTAAAGTCTGTTAGAGAGGGAACAACTATGTATAAACTATTAGACAGAGATGAAGTGAAGTGAAGCTGTAGTAAATCGTCAGAGGTTCAAACATCCCAAAGTGATCTGAGGTAGTGTTTACACAGGTGTATATATTCATAGAAATTAATGAACATGACCTTGGCCGGTGTGGCCCAGTTGGTTGGAGTGTCATTCTGCACACCAAAATATGGCAGGTTAGATTTCTGATCAGGGCTCAGATATCAGTCAGTTGGGGCTGATACCCAGTCAGGGTGCATGCGGGGTGCGGGAGGCAACCAATCAATGTTTCTCTCTCTCCCTTCCTCTCTCTAAAATCAATGAATAACATACCCTTGGATGAGGATTTTTAAAAAATAAAGAAAAATAAATTAATGAAGCTGTACATAAATTTGTGCACTTCTTGAAGATTTTTAAATTATACTTGCTAAAACATTTTTTGGAACAGAGTTAAATATTTTTCCTTCAAAAATAAAGGTCTATAAAGGGATGCCAATATCATTCAGTTTTAATTGAAAAATTATGTAGTTGTGATCAAGCCAGATAAATAGAAATGCCAGGGCAGAAATACTATGCCGATTCCCTACTAGATTCCTTAACAAAGATATGTATAGATATATGCTTAGCACTTGAAATACAGTATGTACCTATATTAAATGTTCATGATAAAACCACTCAACATTCTAGGAATATAAGGGAACTTCCTCAAAGGGCATCTACAAAAACCTACAACTAATATAATGATCCATGGTAAAAGGCTGAGTGCATTTTCCCAATATCAAAAACAAAACAAGAATGTATGCTTTTGCCACCTTTATTCAATATTGCACAGAAGATTCTAGCCATAGCAATTCGATAAGTAAAAGGAATAAAAGGCATCAAGATGGAAAAGGAAAGAGTAAAACTATTTCTATTTGTAGACGACACGATCTTACATACAGAAAATACTAAGGAATAAACTAAAAAACTATTAGAACTAATAAATGAGTTCAGCAAGGTTGCAGAATATAAGATTAATGTATAAAAATCAATTGCATTTAGATACATTAACAATGAACAAATAAAAACAAAACAATTTCATTTATAACACCAACAAATGGAATAAAATACATTTAACCAAAGTAGTACAAAACTCTGAAGATAATGTTAAACTAAACTGAAATCAGAACAACCCTTAGGAAGATATGTAAAGTTATGATCTCAACTATCCAAAGACTTAAAAAGGATGAAATTAAGAAGCAGCGTTAAGACATTCTGCCAGTTAGAATGGAAAGAGTAGCTCTTTATAATTGCTAAGGGGAGAATTCAAGTTAAGAAGATGACTATTTCTGAGGACCTTTTCATAGTAACAGAACTTGAGATTAATAAAAATATACACTGACCTGCGAAAGGTACTCTGTATGTATTAAATTGTTACTCTTTGACTTACGACTGCTCATTTCAACAAACTGAAATCCCTAAAAAAATAAAAAAAGAAAATTTTAGCATGAATATAATAAAGACTATTGGCCTAAAGAAAAGTATTTAAGAACTTACCATTATGTAATCAAATTAAACACGTTTTAAAACATGAAAAATGTTTTAAAACGTGTTTCAAGTTTCTCAAACTTGTGGTAATCATTTCACAATTTATGTAAATCAAACCATCATGCTGTATGCCTTAAATTTATACAGTGATGTGTGTCAATTTTCTCAATAAAACTGGGGGGAAATTCTGGGTTGCTCCTCTTTGTCTAAGTACAGGTATATCTGACACTCCCATACTATACTTTTTTTTTTTTTTTTTGGGCGATAGAAGACTTGATTTGGGGTGGTAAATACAATACAATATATAGATGATATACTGTAAAATTGTATACCTGAAATCTATATAATTTTATTAACCAATGTCACCTCAATAAATTCAATTTAAAAAATATACTTTAAATAAGGCTCTTACAGACAACTCCTACATTTCCCTTCAATCAACTCTTCACCTTCCTTTCCTTGCCTTTCAAAAATAAAATAAAAACTATGTGCTTCCTTAATATAGAATGTTTCTCCCCACATCCATAACCACCTGTATTTCTCTTTATCCATAAACAAACTATATTAAAGTTATCTATTTAACTGCCAGAGTCCCCAAATTAAAGATATTTAAAAATTCCAAGCATTTTAGCATAATATCCAAAACAACACTGGCAATGATAACTGGAATGAGAACTATATATACTAATGAAAAATAACTTAAAATTCTCCTTGAGGGCAGTATTCTCATTGATTAATACTTTCTGCTGAAAGATCTAATTTTCTTAGCACTTATTTCCTACAGGAATACTTCACCAGTCAAGTAATAATAGCTTAAGCAGTATCTACAAACATAACAGGAAATGTTACAAGTACTCTGCATTTATTAACTCATTTAATCCTCAAAATAAACCTATGGAATAAATACCATTACAATACCCCTTTAAGATTAGAAGACATAAAAAGTTAAATAACTTGATCAAAATCAAATAGCACGTTGTACAGCCAGAATTTGAACCTGAAATTATACTTGGTTATATGTAATATAATATTATTATTATATATAATTATATTTGGTTATATATAACTGTTATTTACTTAGCCAACTATTTTAAAAGGTACAAATTTTAATAATTTGAAGGGAGATCAGCCATTGGGACAATTATATTTCCTATTCATATTTATTAATTTCACATACAGACAACTAGACGCCAAGCCTTGGAATGCTGTTAAATGCTAACAGGACAGCAGCTGAGCAAAGCCTTGAAAGATTGACAGCAAGCAAACTTGTCTCTCTTTTAATGTATGAGCCACATAGCCAAGGCCCAAAACCCCAGAAGTCCTCTGCCTCCACCTCCCAAATTGAAAATTCAAAAAAAGATTACTCAACTATTGTTTTGTACCTTAAGAATCTTCTTTCTTAGGAGAAAAGTGGCTTCTCAGCTGTCCTCGGACACCTTCCAGCAGTTTCCTATGCTTACACAAGGCACTGTGCTTGGCAATCTTTATATTAATTCTTTTTTTATTCAACACATTTAATTTTTTTCTTAGACGAGTGTTGTGTGTGGAGAAAAATCCTTTTAACAACATGAAATAATATTCTCATGCTGGATTAAGATACTCTTAACTTTTGAAAAAGGTCTACAAGTTGACATCTCAAATTACAGAAGACTGGGTTCAAATCCCAGTCCCCAAAACGATAAAGTGAGAGAGAGCTTTTGCAATATGCTTTATTTTTTTTTAGAGCTGTATTAGCTATTTCACAGCATTATTGGAATTAACCCCCCCCCCCCCCCAGTGCCCCATTTCATGGATTAAGAAAACATTGCTTAGCCCAGGCCAGTTTGGCTCAGCGGTTAGAGTGTCAGCTCACGAACCAGAGAGTCCGGGTTCGTTTCCCAGCTAAGGGCACATACCTTGGTTGCAGTTTGTCCCTGGCCCCAGTTGGAGTCGTGTGGGTGGCAACCAGTCGATTTGTCTCGCTTATATCGATGTTTCTCTCTCTCTTCCTCCTTTTCTCCCTCCCGTTTTATCCGAATATAAATGCAAAAATGTCCTTGGATGAGGATTTAAAAAAAAGAAGAAAAATAAAACATTGCTTAGAAAAGCTAAGTAAAATGTCTGAGGTTGCAGGGTAGGTGTTTAATCTGCCTCTATGCATCAACTATGTCAGGAAAGGCATTATTAAAAGCATGCATTTTTCTTCATTTGGGGATCATCCATGAAAGAAACATACACACTGAGTGCCTAACCTACGTACATTTTGACTGCAAATTAATTCTTAGTCAAAAGATTAATTTTAATACTTGCCTCTCCAACTAATAGTTAAATTTCCACTCTATAAATAAGAATAATTTAAAGGCAATTCTAATTTTACAGATGAAAAGACTAACTTCTGACTGAAAAGAATATTTGCAAGCCACACATGTGACAAAGGACTTATATAATAAATAAATAAATCCCACACCTGTCAGAATGGCCGCCAGCAACAAATCATCAAACAAGTGTTGGCGAGGGTGTGGAGAAAAGGGGACTCTAGTACACTGCTGGTGGGAATGCAGACTGGTGCAGCCACTGTGGAAAACACTATGGTGCTACCTCAAAAAGTTAAAAATTGAACTGCCATTTGACCCAGTGATCTTACTTCTAGGAATATACCCTAAGAAACCTGAAACACCAATCAGAAAGAATATATGTACCCCTATGTTCATAGCAGTACTATCTACACTAGCTAAGATCTAGAAACAACCCAAGTGTCCATCAGTAGATGAGTGGATTAAAAAGCTGTGGTACATGTACACAATGGAATACTATGCAGTGTAAGAAAGAAAGATCTCTTATCCTTTGAGATAGCATGGAAGGACCTAGAGAGTATTATGCTAAGCGAAACAAGCCAAGCAGAGAAAGACAAATATCACATGATCTCTCTTATTTGTGTAATATAATGAACTAAACAAACTGCTGAACAAAATTAACCCAGAGACATAGAGGTGGGGTATAGACTGCCAAGCCTCAGAGGAAGGGGGTTTGTGGGGGAAGAGATAAACCACAGAACTTACATGCATGTATGCATGACCAATGAACATAGACAACAAAGCTGGGGATGGGGCAGGAGGGGGAGGAGGGTGTCAATGGGGGAAAAATGAGAAACATCTATAACAAAAAAAATTAATAAATAAAAATTTAAAAAAAAGAAAATACTAAAATAAGATCTTTAAAACTCAACAATAAAGAAAATTTAATTAGAAAAATTAACAAGACATAAAGAAACATTTCACCAAAGAGGCTAAATGGATGGTAAACAAACATATAAAAAGATGTTCGGCATTATTAGCCATAGGAAAATGAAAATTAAAACCAAATGAGATATTAATATACACCTATTAGAACTGCCCAAATTTTAAAAATTTTTTAAAAGAGTGAGACAGAAGATGAAATGCTGGATGGCTCTCAAGGGCATTATGCTTACTAAGAAAAAAAAAGGCCTATCTCAAAACTTGCATTTTGTGTGATTCCATTTAAATCACATTCTTAAAACATTTAGAAATGAAGAACAGAATCATGTAGCTAGGAGACAGGAACAGGGTTGAGGGATGGATATGACTATAAAGGGGTTTCATGAGGGATTTTCTTTGTAATGCTGGGACAGTTCTTACTTTTATTGCGGTAGTAGTCACTCAAATTTATATATATGGGCTCATATCACAGAGACACAGACACACAACATTGAGTGCAAGTAAAAACTACTAAAAACTGAATAAGGTCTTTAGTTAACAGTGGTATACCAACGTAAATTTCCTGCTTTAAATATTGCACTACAGTTATATAAGATGTCACCCCTAAGAGAAGCTGGATGAAGGGTATCCTGGACTATTTTTATAACTTCTATGAGTATACAATGATTTAAAAATACAGAAATCATTATAAAAAAACAATTCTAATTTTATGGTTTTTAAAAACTGTTTAATGAACCAAAAAGTGATCAGTGGCACAACCAAATCTTTTTCTTTTTTCAAATCCTCACCTGAAGATAATTTTCCATTTATTTTCAGAAGTAGGGGGGATAGAAAGAGAAAGAGAGAGAGAAACATCAATGTGAAATAGCCACATCAATTGGTTGCCTTCTGCATGACAAATGGCAACCGAATACATGCTCTTGATCGGAATTGAACCTGCAACTCTTTGGTCCACTGGCCAACACTCTAACTGCTGAGTCGAACTGGCCAGGGCTCAACCAAATCTTTATTATCTGCAAACACATTACAGGAGTAAGGTTAGTTAAATTTTTCCTCAAATCATACCAATGGATCCTGGGACTTCTTCCACTTTCTACTGTGCTTTCTCTACTATGAGTGTACTTACTATTCTAAAATAGTAGGACTAGACATAAAATGTAAGAGGAGCTGAATGTCTATGCATGACTAAGTGATTACTCATGTTGGTAACAAATATAAACCTAAGTGACTACAATTATTTAGTTGTAAAAATTTTGGTAGAAGCAACAATTACTTATTCATGCTATTGCAAGGAGCAGTAAAATGGGTAATCCCAAGAAATGATTTACCTACCCAGACATTACTTTAGCTTCTACACTTGCTGTTTTTATCAGTTTCCACTAGATGCCTCTCTCTAATTTGTTTTTGCTAGACTGAATAAACCAATAATCTAAGCATTTCAAGTAACAATCAGTCTATCCCTATTATCTCAAAAATTTCAACCCAAATCACTTCTGTCAGTAGCAGACTCTATTCCACTTTCAGATCACCATGATTTCTTAACCAGAACTCTATAGCTTTTTTATTGGCCTTTAAGTCTTACCTCCATTTGTGATACCACTTTCACATAAAAACCATTCCCCGACCCCCCAGATTCTAAATTCCAAATTCCCTAAACATCATTTAAAAGGAATGACTAGTTTCCCAGCTTAATGCACAAGCTCCTTCTCCTTGTCTG